CACCTTTCATCACTATTATCCAGTGTTTGTACTTGTCCTGAGCTCCCAACCAGAGCATTAGGTGATACACACTACTAATCAATTAACGTGTTACATATGAAAACACACGGAGCATGGCGTATCCATCCCACCTGATCAGGTAGCCCGTAAATGGCCCAGTGCTGTGTGATAACATGGAGCATGGCGTATCCCTCCCACCTGATCAGGTAGCCTATCCCTCCCACCTGATCAAGTAAACTATCCCTCCCACCTGATCAGGTAGCCCGTAAATGGCCCAGTGCTGTGTAATAACATGGAGCATGGCATATCCCTCCCACCTGATCAGGTAAGCTATCCCTCCCACCTGATCAGGTAGCCCGTAAATGGCCCAGTGCTGTGTGATAAGGCGGCTACTGGCTATCTACTGAACACCTCCGATCTACTCAACCTACAATATGCATCAGAAATAAATAGCTAGGTTAACAACAATCAGGACAAGCTTTTGGTTTTACCCGTTTGTAGACGGCGGTGAGATGATGTATCGAACTGAGAACACGTTCCACTATCAGCAACATTTATTTTTGTCTTTGTGAGGCAATCAATAACTTGTGTGGGTGATAAGATAGGGGAAGGTGTCGACACTTTGATCACACTGAGTTGTGTTTGTTGGTGACACAGTGTACCTTTAGCTGTGCCCTTCCAGCTCCTACCTGGCCCTGACAATACTACCCAGGGGTTGGAGGGTGTAGCCAAGAAAAAATAATCCTTGTGCAATTCCTAGATTTTTATGTAAGGTATTAAATGTTCTTTTCAAGATTTTATTGCTTTTAAAGTTTTAAAACGATAATCCTGTACTGGATATGTTTTGGGCAGAGTTGATGCATAGTTGAGATACCTGCCGCCCCCTTATATGACATAATAGAGTAATCAAATGGCCCAATACAGCTGCCTGCCTGCCTTGTATGAATCAAATAGTTTTGTAGAAATAACTAAGTTGTAAGATGCAGAAATAATGATGACAGCCATTTATATATAGCACCATATCCTGCTGAAGCTTGGAACTCGATCGATCTAGAGCACCTTACAATATAAAGGACATGTATAGTACAAAATATATATATACACATATATGCAATTAATATAAAATTGGTGTAATTATAGCAACAATTAATTTTCTGATATAAGACGGGGATGACTCTAGATCTGTCCTACATATCAGATATTAGCTTGCGATCACTCTATCCTAAATATCTGATATTAGCCATGGATGACTCTGTCCCACAAGTCTGATATTGACTGGAGATGACTCTGTCCTACATGTCTGATATTAGCCATGGATGACTCTATCCTACATATCTGATATTACCCTGAGTTGATTCTATCCTACATATCTGATATAAGCTGGAGATGACTCTGTCCTACATATCTGATATTGGCTGGAGATGACTCTGTCCTACATATCTGATATTGGCTGTGAATGACTCTGTCCTACATATCTGATATAAGCTGGAAATGACTCTGTCCTACATATCTTATATTAGCTGGAGATGACTCTGTCCTACATATCTGATATTAGCTGGAGATGATTCTGTCCTACATATCTGATATTAGCTAGAGATGACTCTGTCCTACATGTCTGATATTAGCTGGAGAGGACTTTGTCCTACATGTCTGATATTAGCTGGAGAGGACTCTGTCCTACATATCTGATATTAGCTGGAGATGATTCTGTCCTACATATCTGATATTGGCTGTGAATGACTCTGTCCTACATGTCTAATATTAGCTGACAGCTGGAGTGGACTTTGTCCCACATATCTGATTTTAACTAGAGATGACTCTGTCCTTCATATCTGATATTAGCTGGAGATGATTCTGTCCCACATATCTGATATTAACTAGAGATGACTCTGTCCTACATGTCTGATATTAGCTGACAGCTGGAGAGGACTTTGTCCCACATATCTGATATTAGCTGGAGATGATTCTGTCCCACATATCTGATATAAACTAGAGATGACTCTGTCCTACATGTCTGATATTAGCTGGAGAGGACTTTGTCCCACATATCTGATATTAGCTGGAGATGATTCCTTCCCACATATCTGATATTAGCTGGAGATGACTTTGTCCTACATATCTGATATTAGCTGGGGATGACTTTGTCCTACATATCTGATATTAGCTGGAGAGGACTCTGTCCTACATATCTGATATTAGCTGGAGATGACTGTCCTACATATCTGATATTAGCTGGAGATGACAAGATAGTTTTGACATTGTTATATATGTTAGATCTGTCATGACCACGAATATCAATGTTTACTTACGCTAAGGGAATTAACCTGGTAAACAGCTGAAGGTCGTGTTTGTAACCCCTGTTAATGTTAGTGTATGGATTTTATACTTTACCTACATACACACTTGGATTTCTCACCTGATGGACATTGGTCCAGTTTGGCCAGACTTACGATGTTGACTTTCACCTGCCCTAGATTATGCTCAAATTTTGTCTTTGTACAAAACTGAAATTTAATCTTGAAACCAACTTCATATTACAATTGGAATGCTAGTAAGACCACTATAGAGACATTCTGACAGGCACTAAGTGTACATTACAGCTGGTGGTTTGTATGAACATGACTTATTAATTCTCACATTCAAGCAGGTATTTAATAATACACTAAATCAATTATTTACTTTTACAAAGAGACTCACCATTGATACCCTTTATATATGTGATGGTCTGATGAGGTCACTTTAGGCTAACAGCTGTATGTCTGACCAAGGTTCTCTACCTGTTGTATAACAGGAGATAAAATACTTCTGTTTTGTTTGGTTTTATTAGCTTGTTTGTGATAGCTGTAAGTGTAACATGATCTGCTGATTTTTCAAAACACTGATTTGAACAAATTTACTGCAACCACTCAAAAGATATGATACCACGCTGTAGTAAACATTGTGTATATTATATACTGCAGTGACCGTTTCCTGGTGTATTTCTGTACTACAAAGATAGGATGGCGTCTTTCTGTACTACAGAGATAGGATGGCGTCTTCCTGAATGAGAAGTGTTTCTGTGATATACAGTAATGATATCGGAGTGTAGATGTCGTTTTAACAGTGGTAGCCTAAATCAGTGAAAGAACTATTCTTCTTATTGGTCTGTGATATACAGTAATGATATCAGAGCGTGTAGACTGTCGTTTTAACAGTGGTAGTCTAAATCAGTGAAAGAACTGTTAATTCTTATTGGTTTGTGATATACAGTAATGATATCAGAGTGTGTAGGCTGTCGTTTTAACAGTGGTAGTCTAAATCAGTGAAAGAACTATTCTTATTGGTCTGTCATGATATACAGTAATGATATCAGAGTGTAGATGTCGTTTTAACAGTGGTAGCCTAAATCAGTGAAAGAACTATTCTTATTGGTCTGTGATATACAGTAATGATATCAGAGTGTGTAGACTGTCGTTTTAATAGTGGTAGTCTAAATCAGTGAAAGAACTGTTAATTCTTATTGGTCTGTCATGATATACAGTAATGATATCAGAGTGTAGACTGTCGTTTTAACAGTGGTAGTCTAAATCAGTGAAAGAACTGTTGATATCTGAGTGTAGTTGTCGTTTTAACAGTGGTAGTCTAAATCAGTGAAAGAACTGTTAATTCTTATTGGTTTGTGATATACAGTAATGATATCAGAGTGTAGACTGTCGTTTTAACAGTGGTAGTCTAAATCAGTGAAAGAACTGTTAATTTTTATTGGTTTGTGATATACAGTAATGATATCAGAGTGTAGACTGTCGTTTTAACAGTGGTAGTCTAAATCAGTGAAAGAACTGTTAATTTTTATTGGTTTGTGATATACATGCAGTAATGATATCAGAGTGTAGACTGTCGTTTTAACAGTGGTAGTCTAAATCAGTGAAAGAACTGTTCTTATTGGTTTGATGGCTACTTTTTAAAAAGGTAACAAATTCATCTTTGTGAGAATATTGGTTTTTTTTTTTACCTGACTTTATATGTTATCTTGTGTATAGTTAATTTTACTGTGATTAACACATGTACTATGTTATGACTCCTATAAGCTGTACTGCTTTTGGAAACATCACCCCACCTCAGCCATAGGTGAGGTGTATTTGAGAGTTAACCTATGATACCCCACCTCACCCTGCTATACCATTTATAGGGCTATATTTGTTTAACAAGTCTCCTTCCTGTGAATTTCCTCTCTAAGTGTGATGTTTAAATGAACTTTCAAACAAAGCTGTCATGTAATTAAGTCTGGACAATATTACTATGAACCCTCAGCAGGGGAGCATATCAAAATGACAGTAGATCAATGGAAGGTAGCCCCAATAAACAGACAGCTCCAACAATGGGTGGGATTCCTTTATCTTAAGTGATACAATAATGGCAGATTGTGGTGTGATTCAGGGAGTTTTAGGTCAATTGTTTGTAAAGCTTATCTGATATGTAAGGATTCTATAGAGGAGCCCTCCTATACAGTGTTGGGTCAGTTCATATATAGACAACAGGTCAATATAGTATTGGTCAGTTCATATATAGACAACAGGTCAATATAGTATTGGTCAGTTCCATATGCTGGTCACTATATATCACTGGCTGATGTTTTAATAAAGTATCAGGATTATAGTGCCCAAATCCGATTCAGTTAATAAAAACTGTTTCCTTTTGATCTGTCCTAAGCCTGTAGGATGAAGGTTTTCACCTGTTAATGTACAGACAGAAATAACTTTCTGATGGTTTTATAGCTAGGTTATTGTTACTATGATATATACATTTATTTTTTGATTGGTTTATTTGTTATTTTACTAAAAGAAATTTCTGCTGTCATTGTAGTCGGATATTTGCTATACTGAAATTAAAAAAAGAAATGCTGTGCTACCTTCCATCCATACACAACCCTGCAATTGTCAAAAACTTATTCTGGTGAAACAGTTGTGGATACAATTTACATTTGGGTACATACCATTTTAATATATATCTGTGTGTTTCAGGGACTGTTCAGCCATGTTGACAACTTTGTGGACCAAGAAAATCTGTCATTCCATGTTAAGATCAGGTAAGATGCTTGGAGACCCACAGGGCAGGAATAGGCCAGTATCTCCAATCTGATCATGTGATCAAGGATGGAGTGCTTTAATCTTGTTTAAATGGGCAAAAAAAGAAAATAATATCTTGTTAATAACTTATTAAAGGAAATTTAAATAGTAACCAAATTTGATCGATGTGATTTCATAAGTGTCTGATGTATCTTTCAGTTATTTGGAAATCTACAATGAGAGGGTTCGAGATTTACTGAGACCATCTTTGCTTAAGAAAAATGAGAAGTACACATTAAAAGTACGGGAACACCCAAAGGAGGGACCATATGTTCAGGGTAAGTTTACTGTTGGCTTTTAATTCAGGGTAAATTTATAGACAGGCTGCACTTCAGGCGAAATTATCATGTAAATAAATTCCCTGAAGAACATGTCATTTGTTTTAAATTGTATTAAATGTATGGATTAAATTTAGAAGAAAAAAAAAGTTTATATGTCTCATGTTCACCTGACTTTTTTTTAATTTTGAAGATTTGTCAACCCATTTCATCAATGACAACCAACAGATCCAGGCTATTCTGGAGAGGGGCAATGAATACAGGTAAGATTTATTAAGGGATGGAGAGGGTAACAATATAGATAAAATACAGGTATGAAAATATAGTGACTGTAATCAAATTTATTCTCCTTTGTTGTTCAGGGTCTCTAAGTTACATTTAGATACAGTACTGACCATTGTGTCTGTAGGTTCACACAGTTTTTAGGTCAGGAATATTGCACAGGTGTTTCTGCATTATTATATGTGTCTCTACAATGACCCAAGAACTTTGTTTTGTAGTTAGATAAGTACAGAATTATGCTTTCCTTCTTCTGATGACCTCCCTAGGATGATGATCCAGTTGTTTTTCTTCTTCATTCAATGTTTTCCTTGTTTTATACTTGTAGAACGACTGCATCTACCTACATGCATGACCATAGCAGTAGAAGTCACGCCATTGTTACCATAGAATTCACTCAGGTAAGGCTTGTGGAGGTAGTCATCAAGGCCAGGCTCTTCTAGTGATGTATTTAAGCTATTTTAGTGTTTTGAACACAATCCCCCAAAAAAATCAATATGAAAATTTTCAACAAGATATACAGAATATGTGTCCTTAAGCTGGAGTCAATTAGGCTGTTAGGTCAAGGTCTGAATGAATAAACCACTTATAGTTGTAAGACTGGGGTAAAGCCATTAGGTCAAGGTCATACAATGAACATAACAAATACAGTTGTAAGGCTTAGGTCACAACCAAGAGGTCAAGGTCATGTTGGGATCCAAACAAGTCTGGCATAGTCAGAAGATGATTGGATTGTCAGTTTTGAAAACAACATGAGCTTGTTGGAACCTTGAGGGATGTTGTGGTAAAATAGCCACTCTTATTTGATGTGTGGTACAGAAGCATAGTGATGACAGACTGACCTGGTGTTATATATACAGTGGTGAAGAGACCTGGCACATGATAGACTGAGAAAACCTTCCCCACACATGGGGGTCTCTAGTATATACTCCCATCAACACAGGCTCATTCTCACCTCACTTGTGTTTACAGAAGACACACAAGTTGTTGATTTCCTGGGGCTAAATGTCATTTTGCTTTTACTTTGGTAGTTATTTGTTCTATTCTTTCAAGGCCATTCTGCTATTTTTTCTACAACTTGAGTTATACAGGATGATCTGTGATCAATAGTATCTACACATATACTGTTATGTTTTTATCATGTTCTCAAACATCTTTTCCATTTCTTTATATTTAAAATAAATAATAACTTGCATCACTTTTTATTTCTATAGTAATATGGTAATAACTTATTATATGGTATGTAATGTTAGACAGGAGTGTTTACTCTGGAGTTTCTTATCTTTGATTTGGCTATAAAACATTGAAATAGTTCCAGATTTCCTTTTTCTGTGTTTTGACTGTACATCAGAGCTGGCATCATTGGCCTGCTGTGGGCAGCATGTACCATCTGTTTGGGTGTCTGTTGTAGTGGGTCTGCTACTACACTTAAGTACCTAAATCTGTAAATCTTACCTTATCCTAAGATAACAGAAGATAATTCTGTCGTAAAAACAAACAAGGAGGTATAGGGAAAGTTGCTGTGGTCTGAGGGATGGATATCTGCCTGGCAGTTTTCTGCATGCTACATCGGGAGTTTCTGAAATAAGTAACAGCTAATCTGCTGTTGATGCAGTTAAAATTGGTCGCTTGTGTAAAACTCAAGCTGATGTTAGTTTTCTAAGCTGGGAATATTGTGTGTAAATTGGGTATGTTTTACTAATAAACTTACTTCTGTAAAAAAAAGATGATACCTCAGTAGAAGAAAAGACATGCATGTGTCTATGCACGCATGGCCAGTGTCCTACTGCAGGCTGCACACATGTCTAATAAACTTACTTCTGTAAAAAAAAAGATGATACCTCAGTAGAAGAAAAGACATGCATGTGTCTATGCACACATGTCCAGTGTCCTACTGCAGGCTGCACACATGTCCAGTGTCCTATTGCAGGCTGACACATGTCCAGTGTCCTACTGCAAGCTGCACAAATGTCCAGTGTCCTACTGCAGGCTGCACACATGTCCAGTGTCCTACTTCAGTCTGACACATGTCCAGTGTCCTACTGCAGGCTGCACGCATGTCCAGTGTCATATTGCAGGCTGCACACATGTCCAGTGTCCTACTGCAGGCTGACACATGTCCAGTGTCCGACTGCAGTGTGACACATGTCCANCCTACTGCAGGCTGCACACATGTCCAGTGTCCTTCTTCAGGCTGCACACATGGCCAGTGTCCTACTTCAGGCTGACACATGGCCAGTGTTCTACTGCAAGCTGCACACATGTCCAGTGTCCTACTGCAGGCTGCACACATGTCCAGTGTCCTACTGCAGGCTGCACACATGTCCAGTGTCCTACTGCAGGCTGCACACATGTCCAGTGTCCTACTGCAGGCTGCACACATGTCCAGTGTCCTACTGCAGGCTGCACACATGTCCAGTGTCCTACTGCAGGCTGCACACATGTCCAGTGTCCTACTGCAGGCTGCACACATGTCCAGTGTCCTACTGCAGGCTGCACACATGTCCAGTGTCCTACTGCAGGCTGCACACATGTCCAGTGTCCTACTGCAGGCTGCACACATGTCCAGTGTCCTACTGCAGGCTGCACACATGTCCAGTGTCCTACTGCAGGCTGCACACATGTCCAGTGTCCTACTGCAGGCTGCACACATGTCCAGTGTCCTACTGCAGGCTGCACACATGTCCAGTGTCCTACTGCAGGCTGCACACATGTCCAGTGTCCTACTGCAGGCTGCACACATGTCCAGTGTCCTACTGCAGGCTGCACACATGTCCAGTGTCCTACTGCAGGCTGCACACATGTCCAGTGTCCTACTGCAGGCTGCACACATGTCCAGTGTCCTACTGCAGGCTGCACACATGTCCAGTGTCCTACTGCAGGCTGCACACATGTCCAGTGTCCTACTGCAGGCTGCACACATGTCCAGTGTCCTACTGCAGGCTGCACACATGTCCAGTGTCCTACTGCAGGCTGCACACATGTCCAGTGTCCTACTGCAGGCTGCACACATGTCCAGTGTCCTACTGCAGGCTGCACACATGTCCAGTGTCCTACTGCAGGCTGCACACATGTCCAGTGTCCTACTGCAGGCTGCACACATGTCCAGTGTCCTACTGCAGGCTGCACACATGTCCAGTGTCCTACTGCAGGCTGCACACATGTCCAGTGTCCTACTGCAGGCTGCACACATGTCCAGTGTCCTACTGCAGGCTGCACACATGTCCAGTGTCCTACTGCAGGCTGCACACATGTCCAGTGTCATACTGCAGGCTGCACACATGTCCAGTGTCCTACTGCAGGCTGCACACATGTCCATGCAGTGCCCTTCTGCAGGCTGCACACATGTCCAGTCTCCTACTGTAGGCTGACACATGTCCAGTGTCCTACTACAGGCTGCACACATGTCCAGTGTCATACTGCAGGCTGCACACATGTCCAGTGTCCTACTGCAGGCTGCACACATGTCCAGTCTGTGTTGTTGTACAGTAGGATTTGTGGTACATTATATGATGACCCTGGCTGACCCTGGTAACGGCTCCTCCTGGTTCTCCTGGTTCTGTGTCTTTATCATGTTATACATTGGTGGAGTAAACCTTTGTGAAGGGTAGATATAATGATATTTACTTGACATAACTTATGTAGTATTCCTGAATGTATCTTTCCATCTGCTCTTTATTTCGTTTCACACTCACAAAAACAGAATGCTGAATTTGATATGAACAATTAATACTTTAACAAGGCTGTCTGAAATGAACAGTAACTTAATAGTTATTTTTAGACCTTGTTTGGATGTTTGACATTTTGTCTTCGATGGCAGTAGTTAAATTCATGCTTACCAACATATAAGGGTTCAAATGGTGTCAAAGACTCTAGGTTTTCACCGCTGACCAGGGCTGGCTGCATGTCTAATATTCTTGCTGCGACACAGACATACAACTAATTCGGGGATTACTGGTGTCGGCTGTACATAATTAGAGTCAGTACTTCGTTAATCTCTGTTTTGATTAATATGGATAACGTATGCTGTACAGTAACACTTGAGAGAAGTAATGGCCGGCGATCGCTTCAGGGTGCACGTAAGACTTGAGCAACAGATTTAGGTTAGAAGTTGATCTTGAGACTTTAATCTTATGATTACAGTTTAACACTGTAATGCCTGCCTCAATCATAGGGTACAGATATAACGTTGTTACACTGTGTATATACCAACCATAATATTGTAGATTATACTTCCAGAAGTGTCATTACAGGGTCGGCCATACTCTGTATGATGGTCTGCATATCCTCAGCACGCTTTCAAAGTTTCCAAAAGTGATTTGTCCTTTTAATTATCAGACTTAGATTTTCTTTAATCAAATGGAACAAATTAAAGAATGAATCGACTTACAACTTATCGGATTACTTTTGATCTGTGCAGCCAATGTAATGATAATAGGTGAGCACCACTCTTATATACAGAGCGCCGGAATACAACATTACACAAAACTCCAACTTTTTGTTTTTATCTGGAAATATATCAAACTGTGTTGAATCCATGATTTTGAAAACATTAGGTTATTGGAAGAGGAAGCAGTTGTTTTAACTTTGAATTTGCAGATTTATCACTCAGCAAAAACTGTGCAAATATGACTAAACCAAAAATGTCTTGCGTATCATAGCATCCTTGTCAATATTTGGAGGAGATTACACGTGCTTAGAATTAGAAACAGAAATAAAATGTGTGCATGTACACCCTAAGGGAAAATAATACTTTAAAATGGCATCTTTGGAGCTGTTCTTTCAGGCTAAATCATCAAATCTTAGAAAATAGGAATAATTGAGCAAATTCATTGGTTGAAAATGCTCTTTTTTCGAGTCCAAAATTGGAAGTCTCCCTTCTAAAATTGTGAGCCTCCCTTCAAAATTGGGAGAGTTGGCAAGTATGTCATAGTCTTATAGCTTAAGAAATAATTGTACGACATTGTCTAAGTGGTTGTAGTCCAGTAGAAAGTATTATTTCAGTTTCAAATCCAGTACACATACTCGGTACATATAAGTAGTATTATACATTGTGTATATCATCAGTGAATTGTGGTTAATTTGTTAATAAAACATAAAGACGCGGTGGTTAATGAGGTCATCTTTGTTTCCATTAATTAGGTTATGTGTAGTTATTTAGATAACATCAGCAAGGTGATGTTAAAAATATGAACTTTCAAATTAAAAAAAGATATCAAAATTTTCTAAAGTGTTGTAAATTTTTGAACTGTTTTATGGCTATTTTGAGTATAATAAACATTAAGATGTGTATGTGTGAGTAATTTAAAGAAAATGCTGAAGGGGCGTAGATTTGGTGGCCCTCTTGACATTATTTAAACAATGGGGTTGTGCCTCGCTATTTTGACTGTACACATTAATACAGGCAGGTAAGCAGTTAAGTAGATTTACCCCGTTACACTAGAGGCCAGCTCATTATGGTGTATTATTGTGTATGATGAATAGTTGTTAAATTTTAGCATTGTATTGGATAAAGAGAGCTGATGAATGAGCAAGACATTTACTGGTTTTAATTCTTGCAAACAAGACATTTGTACCGAACAGACCTAGTGCACATGATAAACTGCACACTAGATTAACCAGCATAGTCTTTGTGGAATCACATGATAAACTGCATACTAGATTAACCAGCATAGCCTTTGTGGAATCACATGATAAACTGCACACTAGATTAACCAGTATAGCCTTCGTGGAATCACATGATAAACTGCATACTAGATTAACCAGCATAGCTTTTGTGGAATCACATGATAAGCTGCACACTAGATTAACCAGCATAGCCTTTGGGGAATCACATGATAAACTGCACACTAGATTAACAAGCATAGCCTTTGTGGAATCACGTGATAAACTGCACACTAGATTAACCAGGATAGCCTTCGTGGAATCACATGATAAACTGCATACTAGATTAACCAGCATAGCCTTTGTGGAATCGCATGATAAACTGCACACTAGATTAACCAGGATAGCCTTCGTGGAATCACATGATAAACTGCATACTAGATTAACCAGCATAGCCTTTGTGCAATCACGTGATAAACTGCACACTAGATTAACCAGGATAGCCTTCGTGGAATCACATGATAAACTGCATACTAGATTAACCAGCATAGCCTTTGTGGAATCACGTGATAAACTGCACACTAGATTAACCAGGATAGCCTTCGTGGAATCACATGATAAACTGCATACTAGATTAACCAGCATAGCCTTTGTGGAATCGCATGATAAATTGCACACTAGATTAACCAGCATAGCCTTTGCGGAATCACATGATAAACTGCACACTAGATTAACAAGCATAGCCTTTGTGGAATCACGTGATAAACTGCACACTAGATTAACCAGGATAGCCTTCGTGGAATCACATGATAAACTGCATACTAGATTAACCAGCATAGCCTTTGTGGAATCACATGATAAACTGCACACTAGATTAACCAGTATAGCCTTTGTGGAATCGCATGATAAACTGCACACTAGATTAACCAGCATAGCCTTTGGTGAATCACATGATAAACTGCACACTAGATTAACCAGTTTAGCCTTTGTGGAATCACATGATAAACTGCACACTAGATTAACCAGCATAGCCTTTGTGGAATCATGTGATAAACTGAACACTAGATTAACCAGTATAGCCTTTGTGGAATCACATGATCAGCTGCACACTAGATTAACCAGCATAGCCTTTGTGGAATCACATGATGAACTACACACTAGATTAACCAGCATAGCCTTTGTGGAATCACGTGATAAACTGCACACTAGATTACCCAGCATAGCCTTTGTGGAATCACATGATAAACTGCACACTAGATTAACCAGCATAGCCTTTGTGGAATCACATGATAAGCTGCACACTAGATTAACCAGCATAGCCTTTGTGGAATCAGATGTCTGGACAAGAATTCAACTTGATGCAAATCATACCAATAAAAGACTGCCATTAATTGTATTATTGTAGTACTATACACATACCCTTGCTGATATGTGACGTTTTCTGTTCCAGGCCAAACTAGAAGATGATCTACCTCATGAAATCGTCAGTAAACTTCACCTGGTGGATTTGGCTGGCAGGTCTGTGACTCCAATACTAAGAGTTAATTAACAGTAATCAGATTTGTATCATATGTAATCCCTGCCCATGGATTTGGTGTATGAAATTTAAACAAGAATTCTTCTGACCAGGAAGGTCTGCTTGACTGTTTCACATGTCATTATAGTTATAATACGCAATACAGAGCAATGGTCTACTTCATAATCTCGTAAGTGTGTTATCATATACTTCAATGATATTTGTAAAATCTTAATTCCCTTAGTTGTGTTACTTATTAGAATACTTCTATGTGTTACTTTATAGAATACTTCTATACATAAGGTCAAACTCACCCTGGTTGTGTGACTATAGATTACTTCTATACATAAGGTCAAACTCGCCCTGGTTGTGTGACTATAAATTACTTCTATACATAAGGTCAAACTCGCCCTGGTTGTGTGACTATAGATTACTTCTATACATAAGGTCAAACTCGCCCTGGTTGTGTTACTTTATAGAATACTTCTATACATAAGGTCAAACTGGCGCTGGTTGTGTGACTATAGATTACTTCTATACATAAGGTCAAACTCGCCCTGGTTGTGTTACTTTATAGAATACTTCTATACATAAGGTCAAACTCGCCCTAGTTGTGTTACTTTATAGAATACTTCTATACATAATGTCAAACTCGCCCTGGTTGTGTTACTTTATAGAATACTTCTATACATAAGGTCAAACTCGCCCTAGTTGTGTTACTTTATAGAATACTTCTATACATAATGTCAAACTCGCCCTGGTTGTGTTACTTTATAGAATACTTCTATACATAAGGTCAAACTCGCCCTAGTTGTGTTACTTTATAGAATACTTCTATACATAATGTCAAACTCGCCCTGGTTGTGTTACTTTATAGAATACTTCTATACATAAGGTCAAACTCGCCCTAGTTGTGTTACTTTATAGAATACTTCTATACATAAGGTCAAACTGGCGCTGGTTGTGTGACTATAGATTACTTCTATACATAAGGTCAAACTGGCCCTGGTTGTGTGACTATAGATTACTTCTATACATAAGGTCAAACTCACCCTAGTTGTGTTACTTTATAGAATACTTCTATGCATAAGGCCAAGCTCGCCCTGGTTGTGTTAATTGATAGAATACTTCTATACATAAGGTCAAACTCGCCCTGGTTGTGTTACTTTATAGAATACTTTTATACATAATGTCAAACTCGCCCTGGTTGTGTGACTATAGATTACTTCTATACATAAGGTCAAACTCGCCCTGGTTGTGTTACTTTATAGAATACTTCCATGCATAAGGTCAAGCTCGCCCTGGTTGTGTTACTTGATAGAATACTTCTATACATAAGGTCAAACTCGCCCTGGTTGTGTTACTTTATAGAATACTTCTATACATAATGTCAAGCTGTATAGAACAGTTATATGCATTTATGTCTAACTTGCCCTGGTTTTGTAACTGACTTTTAGCTGTTTAAATACATTCCTAGAACTAGCGGTGTAATAACAGTTTAAGTTTTGCCATTTAGAGGTGTGAAGATTACTGACTTCACAATGGTACAATCCTGAATCCTATTCTACGCGTCACTGAGCGTGGTGGGGTATAGTACCACTGACTGGTCGGGAATGCTGTCCGATCTACAATTTTGACCAGTCGCACCTACTTACATTTGTTGAATGCCTCAAAGATTTACATACTTCAGCTTTTATTCAAAACATAAATATAATTGACAAAAACAGTTTGATCTGGAATGTTTTCAAACTACCTGACTGTTGACGTAGAAATATGTATTCCTGATAGTCGTAGCATACCTACACAGGTCACAGGTGTATTGGGAATTAACACTCAACCCACTCCCTTGTTGTCATATACAGATAGATTGACAATTGGAAAAGCTTAAAATACAAAACATAAATGGATAATACCCTTCTCCGTGTCTCCATCTCCGGGATATATTGAACTGTCTGATTCTCCAGTTATACAGAGCAGAGCATAACACTTTCTCCATAGCCTCTCCAGAATACAGCATATAACTGTCTCCCTCTCCTATCTGGGGATTTTGCAAAGTTTTGGACTTCTATTTGTAAGCTGTAGATATGATTTTAATATAGACTGATGAGATTGCAGAAAATACATTATTTGAATTATTCCTTCTGTATATCATTTCAATGTCTCATTACAAAAAAATAATTCAGGTGTCTGCTGATCTTGTTAATTTCTGTTTTTTTACTGAAAGATTGCATGAGAAATTAATTTTCTTCTGGTTAATTGTAGATAATATATGCACCGTTTTATTAAGAAGTCCTCTGGAGACCTGCTGTGTGTAACTGTTTTAGTACACCTATAGCGTCCACACAAGTCTGTTTCCACTTGGGCGTCTAGTTATGGGTGGCTCTCATTTGCCCTAGTATAGATCTAAGTACATACTCGAGATCAATGTTCTCATTTTCTAAATAATCAATAGATAAAACAGGAATGAGGGTAACCTGTAGTGATATTGTAGGGCGGTTCACGGGACCAGTGACCATGACGATACATAAACACCTCTGTCACTCCAACCACACACTCACAACTATTTTCAAAAACAAATTGAAGGGTGGAATACTTACCTGTCAATTGTTGCCTGTAGATCGTTAGGGCAGGTGAGGGTGGAGAGTTGTGTACTTTGGAAAATAAAATTAGCTCTCCAGGTCAATTGTGAATAGTAGGTGATTTTCAGTGGGGTAATGGTTCTGACTTTTTGTTATGGTCTGTGTGGTTGAAATGGTCTGATTTCCCTTAATGTGTCTGACAATTAAAGCTGAGCTGTTTGATATATACTGTGAGTGTTCAATATTGGAACAAGTGATTAACACAAGTGCTGTCAAGGTGCCCCTACAGAACAAAAATGGAGCTGTTATGATATCTTACCCTGTTCTCATCTTATATAACTCAGGTCTATATTGTAGATTGAATTTGTAACAATATTCTAAATATTTCAGAATTCTCTCGAGCTATTTTGGTAGATATTCAGTCTAATTTCTTTATTTTCTAATTATTTAATTAAATTACTCATGAAAAGTCAAAGTCAAGATAAAATTTGACCTGTATAATTAAGTAATGTAACCAAATGGACAAGGCCTTATTTTAATAGTATGTCTGTTTCTTTTCCAACTGTATTTCCAGCTCTGTTGTCCTTGTGATTTTGTTTCTGACTTTTTCATCTATCTGTTTGGTTTCTAGATCTATCTTTTTGATACTTTCACAGATTGTTAAAGAAAAAGACATAAATTTGTTAATGTTTAAGGTCAAAGTTCAAGTTCAGTTTCTATGTACAATAACAACAGTATCTAGTTAATGAAATGATGTTTAAGTTTGGTAATAATTTAAGATAAAAAAACCTAGGAAGCTTTCAACTGACTAATATTTCGGAATTTATAAGGAAGAAGATATCTTTTAGTGAAGTGATTTCATCAAAATAAAAGCTATGCAATATGAAAAGACTGGAACTTAAATTAAAATATATTTGAATTTCAGTGAAAGGGCTGACCCCAACTATGGGTCAGGATATAAAGGTCGGCTGCGAGAGGGCTCAAACATCAACAAATCACTGGTCACGCTTGGCAATGTCATCAAGGCTCTTGGTAAGTCCTAAACTTTCCTGTTGGTACTCAGTCGGTCCTCAAATACAGTAATAGCTCAAAGTGACTGAGACATGTCTGCTTACACATGACATGGTACACATGACATTGTATTATAGCTGAGAGATATCTGTACTTACACATGACATTGCATTGTAGCTGAGAGATATCTGTACTTACACATGACATTGTATTGTAGCTGACAGATATCTGTACTTACACATGACATTGTTTTGTAGCTTAGAGATATCTGTACTTACACATGACATTGTATTGTAGCTGAGAGATATCTGTACTTACACATGACATTGTATTGTAGCTGAGAGATATCTGTACTTACACATGACATTGTATTGTGGCTGAGAGATATACGTACTTACACATGACATTGTATTGTAGCTGAGAGATATCTGTACTTACATATGGCATTGTATTATAGCTGAGCGATATCTGTAATTACACATGACATTGTATTGTAACTGAGAGATATCTGTACTTACACATGACATGGTATTGTGGCTGAGAGATATCTGTACTAACACATGACATTGCATTGTGGCTGAGAGATACCTGTACTTACACATGACATTGTATTGTAGCTGAGAGATATCTGTACTTACACATGACATTGTATTGTAGCTGACAGATATCTGTACTTACACATGCCATTGCATTGTAGCTGAGATATATCTGTACTTACACATGACATTGTATTATAGCTGACAGATATCTGTACTTACACATGGCATTGTATTGTAGCTGAGAGATATCTGTACTTACATATGGCATTGTATTATAGCTGAGAGATCTATCCTGTCCTGTAGTACAGATAGCCTNAATATCTGTACTTACACATGCCATTGCATTGTAGCTGAGAGATATCTGTACTTACACATGACATTGTATTATAGCTGACAGATATCTGTACTTACACATGACATTGTAATGTAGCTGAGAGATATCTGTACTTACACATGACATTGTAATGTAGGTGAGAGATATCTGTACTTACACATGACATTGCATTGTAGCTGAGAGATATCTGTACTTACATATGGCATTGTATTATAGCTGAGAGATCTATCCTGTCCTGTAGTACAGATAGCCTTGGAGCATCCATGGCTAGTGTTCAGAGCAGCCCTGGGGGTGAAGGGGCCACACCCAAAAGACGTCTTCCATACATTCCATACCGTGACTCTGTCCTCACGTGGCTCCTGAAGGACAGCCTTGGGGGCAACTCCAAAACCATAATGATCTCAAGTTAGTCAATCAAATTATCAATACAACTTAAAAGACATCACGATCTGAAGCAAGTCAGCGAATCAATACAACTCCAAAACCAT